GAGGCTGCGCGCGGGCCGGCTGTGCACGCCAAGGGCGCCAGGCGCCGCGCTCGGGCGCATTTGTACTTTGCCGCGGGAAGCAGGCAGCCCCGGCCTGGCGCTGGCCTAGCGCTGGCGCCTCCTCTGGGGCACCGCGGGCTCGTGGATTGGCCACCCGAGAAACAGGCCCGCTTTCCCCTCCTCTCTCGTGCCGGTCTCCGGGACGGACGCTCCAGGCGCGGCGCCGAGTGGAGCGAGGGGGCTGGGGAGGGGGAAGGGGCCACCCGGGCCACTGGCTTTAACCCCTGACTCCCCGCGATGCCTGCAGCGCAGGAGGGTGGAACCCAGTCGACTCCAGGTGGAGAAGGATGCGATGTCCGGGTCGGGGCGGGAGTGGGCTGCGGAACCGGAGAGGTCGGGCAGGGCGCTTGGCGGTGCGTGCGCAGAGCTCGGCATCTGGATGGAATCAGGACACTTGCCATTCTTAATGCAGTTTGTGGACTTGGGCGCGCCACCTCAGAGTCTGTTTCCTCAGCTCTAAACGGGAGCTTTAATGCCTTTACTACCTTTCTACCGTTGCAGGGAAGAGCACATGAGATCACTGAATGTCAAAGCGCTCACACCTCAGCCCGTCATAACTTCAGGTGCCCGAGATGCCAGTTGCCCTCTGTCCCTCATCGGTCGCCCCAAGCGCCATCCCCTGGTTGAAATCGAGCCCAACAGGATCTTTTGACTTGCCCTTCGAAGGCTTCCCACCCACTCGCAAAGCAGGACAGGGGCTCTGCTTTGCCAGTGCTGGTCACTCCTGCTCTCTCTGTGAGTGATGGTCGTGTTCACGACGACCTTCAATGCGGACATTTTCAGTGTAAGCAGATGGCCCAAATGTCATCTCTCCTCCCGCCCACAGGTGAGGTCCTTGAAGGGGGCCCTGACACCCCCAGGCTGCAGTTAGAGTGCCACACGTTGTGTTGAAAGAGAACAGGAACCAATGAGACCCTAAAAAGACAGTAACCAGCCGGGTCCACATCAGAAACACCCCGGCTCTGAAGTAAGATGGGCAGAGTCATTGTCTTGGCCCTATCTCTAGCTTCCTGGGCTACTTTGAATAAAAGCTTCAATCCTTGCCTTGGACCTCGACTTCCTACCCGGCTGCTCTGGCTGACCAGTGAGTGTCGAAGGGAAAAGTGACAGGGATACTGAGCCGCACCCCTCTCTGGTAGGGAATCAGATTCCAGGTCCAAACACTTGTGACTGGTGGTCTGCAGACACCTTCCTGGGCCAAAGGTGGGATCCCCATTCCACTGTGCTGTCAAACAACCCCAACCATCAGGAGCAGGAGGAGAAACCAATGATCCCAGGAACAGCCTTTCCTAGTGCTCTCAGAATCAGGGACAAACATGTTCTGCCCATAGTGCCCTTCAGGCTTCACTGCTCCCCTTCCAATCTGGCCAGTTTCTCCCTCTGCTATGAGTATCCCCTACTTCATTTTCAAAGATTATGAGAGCTATGTGTGTCCTCATGTTTCCCTTTTTGCCTTGGCTTTCAGGGAGCTCATAGTTATATTTAGTGCTTAATTGCTAAATAAGCTCATCCTAATGGTCTGAGGCAGATCTTTTCCTTTTTCCATCTTTGTTTGACGTGTTCTGTGCACATGTATTTGTGCTTTAGGTTTAAGATTGGCCTCTCCGACACTCTGCTCATTCTGTTTCACAAAGGGTCCCTGTACTCTCAGCTCTCCTCCCATCCTCCTTCTCCCTGGAATTTAGGCCATCATCATCCCTCACCTGGATTTTACCAACAGTCTTTTAACAGCTCTAGTCTGGGCCCCTCCAATATATTTTCATCACAGCCTCTGTAACAGTTGGACTGCTAATTCATACTTCAAACCTAGCCACACTACTTAAAACCCATTACAGTCTTCCTATCACAGATGAAAATCCAAAGTTTTCAGCATTAGAGTCAAGGCCAGTCACATTTCGCCTCCTATCATTGCCACCCACGCTACATTTTCGTCAACCTCCCCCAAGTGGCCATGCATTTCCTGTCTCCATTATCTCCACACATATTTTTCTGCCTTTTCCCTCCCCCATCTAGTGAAGACCTCTTTACTTCTCAAAAGTCAGCTCTGAGTTACTTCCCCTCTGAGGCCTTCCCTGATTCTTCTAGGCAAAGTAAGGGCTTCGTCTTTGTGTTCTCATAGCACTTTGTGCTGCAGCTATCGGGGCATAAGTATTTATTTGCATGTCTCCCCTGCAATGTGGAGGGAGATGCCTTCTTTCATCTCTTTCTCTGTCTCCAGCACTTAGGAAAGTCTCTGACACATGAAGGTACGAATAAATAATTGCTACAGGAATGAGCGAAGACCTCAGTGATTTGAAGAGACATTATTCTTCCCTGGGAGGACGTTTAGCAGCCCTGTTGGCCTCTGCTTTTGCCAATAAGAAATATAAGAAGCCCTGGGGGGAGGTTTCAGGGTCTCCTGCAGGAATACTAGTGAAGACAGTTGTCTCTATGTTATCGAATATCCTTTAAAGAAGGAGATTTGATGCAGTCTCCAAAATCTAGTCCAAAAGCTAGGAAAAAAGAATGACCTACCCAGAGCAATTTGTTGCACCAAGAATGTGTCAGGCGTCTATTTGCTTTCCTGCAAGGGAACTGGCTCACTGCTTCCAGAGTAGCCCAGTCCACTGCTGGACAGCTCTGTTAGGATGTTCTTTAAATGAAACTGAAATCTGATTCTCTGTGACTCTCTGCATGGCTCCTAACTCTACTCCCAGGGCTCCACAGAACAATGTAATTCTTTTCGTGGTTTGTTTGTTTGTTTGTTTGAGACAGGTTCTCACTATGTAGTTCAGACTGACTGGCCTTGAATTCACTATGTAGCCAGGCTGGCCGCAAATTCACAGCAATCCTCCTGCCTCAGCCTCCCAAATGCTGGGATTATAGGTGCACACCACTACCCTCAGCTCTTTTTGTCTTTTGAGGAGGGCTCTGCTGAGATTTGAGGCAGAAAATCCCTCTTCCATGCTTTGCCTTTGCCAGTCCCAGTCTTTGGACCCCATGCCACTTTAAGGTTTTTTTCTAGTGTGTCAAGCTCTTTTCCCTCTATGCCTCTGTGCATGTTGTTTTTTCTTCGTGGGATGGTCTTCCTGTACTCACTTTTAGCTGCTTGGCAAGTTTACTTACTGTTCAAGGGTCGAGGTCATTGCTACCTCCTTCCTGCGTGTAACAATTACTGAGCGGCAACTCCGTGCCAGGCAGTGTGCTAAGTGCTGGAGACATAGTGGAGAACAATATAGACATTGATGCTTAGGTCTAGGTTCTCCCTGAAGCCTCCTTGATGGTCTCTGAATTAGCCCTGCTATCCTCCATGCTTTTGTTTTCTGTTATAGAACTTGTCACATTGGATTTATGTAGGTTTTGTGTCACCTTCTTTAAAGTGAGTTCCCTCAGAGTACAAACTACAATTTATCTCATCCCTTTCCTAGCCTTTAGCAGGTCTTTGCCCATAGTAGCTGGTACTAAAATTTCTCTTGTAATAGCCTTGTTACTTCAAAGAGTCCTCTTACATCATTTGTAGGTAAAAACCCCCACCTTAGGCAGCAGATTGCTTGATTATGTAAAAGTGGCGTACAAATATGGATCGTAGGAACTTGATTTAGGAAAGACTTCTCAACCTAGTCCAATGAATTCTTTCAATAAGATTCTGAAAGAAGATTCACCACAAGAAAATTAATATAAAAGGGCTACACAAATGGTGTACTGTAACATATAATAACCAGCTCTCCAGCAGGGAGCAGAGGAGACAGTTTTGGATTCTGCATTTGCCAATTTCCATAGCATAAACATTCCCACTGGTGGCGATTAAAGCTACTCATGTGATATCGCTGAATGAGCAGTTGGGAAGAGATGTACTGTGTGGTCTATAGTGTTTCCTCCATACAGATGAAACAGACAGTTTGTCGATACAGATATTCCTTATTTAATGACTTTTCTGTTTAATGACTGTTTAGACTCACAACTCACCTCTCAAACTTATGATTTGTCTTTTTTCTTAGTACAGTTCTGTGCATCTTGTTTATAAAACATGAGTGTCTTTTTTGTATAGTACACCTTGCTTATACAGTACTGTAATTTTTGCTGATTGTACTGTACAGTATAGTACTGTAGTTTTATGTTCTGTAACATATTACAGTACTGCATGTAAGAGTTACACAAATAAAAGCAAAGTCATCAAGTGGGAATTTCCTTTGGCCACTTCTTTGTTCTGAATATTGCAATACATGTACTACATACAATTGCAAATTTAGTGACCAATTCACTCAACAACCTAGTCGCAGGAAGAACTTGGTTGTTAAATGAGAAATATCTGTGTTGTAGTCAGGGTTCACAAAGGAAAAGATTTAATAGAAGACAAATAATTTGTAGGATTATTTTATAATATTCACCCAAAGAGTCAAATGCAGAAGAGTGCAGGAGATCTGTCCACACACTAGAGACCCAAAGAACCTGGCTGAGGGCCTGGATCCCACAGCAATGTCCTGCATGAGTCCAGCTGAAGACCTAGAGCCCATGGCAATGTCTCATGCAAGTCTGTATCAAGGATCTGCACCGGGAAGGTCCAAAGGTCAGTGGTGGAAGCTAGAAAGTCTTGCACCAGCACGATGAAGGATCTGTGCCAGCAGGATGAAGGATCTGCACCGGAGCCAGGAAGTGATGCTCAAAGTAAGGACCAGAGCTCCCACAAAGATAACCTCAGCCATCCTCAGTGACAGCAAGGACCTGAGCTCCTCTGATAATGAGAATAGCTGAGTTCATATCAGGAAAACCAGCATGACAAGTTTCT